TGAGTTAGGTCCCAAGAAAGCATACCTGAGGTGAGACGGTAGCAGTTTTAGCTCCAACTGTGGTGGCTCTTCAATTGATGGCTTAGTTGGAGGGGTCTCTCCTTCTTTTAAGTGTAAAGTCTCGAATTCGAGCTCTCTTTTCCAATACCCTTGACCTTCAAGGTCCAAAACCCACTCCGCCAAGTCCTCACCATCTACCTCTTCTAAGTTCGTGAGGTAGGCTGCTAGAGGGTCTTTTGCATTCAGAGTCTCATCTTCCTCCTCCAAAATCACATTCATAGCTTCTATCAGAGAGCAGTTAGCAAAATCACTGGGTCGCCGCATAGATCTCTACACATTGAACGTTATCTCTTCATCGTTCAGTCTCATCTTTAGCTCCCTAGTTTCACAACCAATTAGAGCTATCCTAGTGGCCAAAATGGCCTTCCCAAAATTATGTGAATCTCCTCGTCAACCCGGCAGTCCAGAATGACAAAATCTGCCGGAAACACAAACTTTCGAACCTGCACCAGCACATCATCAAATACCTGATGGCCTCTTTACCGTTCGGTCGGCTAGCTGTAATAACATGGATGTAGGTCTTGGTCTTGTAATGCCTAACCTTTTATAGATAGCCAAGGGCATCAAGTTTATGCTCGCCCCAAATCACATAGTGCTTTAGCAAAAGCATAGTTGCCTATTATGCATGGGATTGTGAAACTCCCTGGGTCGGACAACTTCTCAGCTATGGGTCTCGTCACGACAGCACTACACGTCTGAGTCAGTGTAACAGTGGCCAACTCTTGAAAGTCAAACTTCCGAGACATAAAGTCATTCATCATTTTTGTATAACTAGGCATCTCCTTCAAGGCGTCAATCAGTGGAATGTTCACCTTGATTAGCTTCAACATCCGCGTGAATTTCTTATACTAATCAACTTTCTGTATTTGGTCAATCTCTAGGGTAAGGGTGCTGGAGGCCGCTTCTTTCCTGTGATTTGAGTTTGAATCTGCTCGGGCACTGTTTCTATTGCCTTCTCTTGCACTAACTCAGTTTCCTTTGCAACCTCTTTTTCATTGCTTGATTCTGCTGGTGCATGTTGCACCGTCACCTCTGTTAACCTTGTTGAATCATCCACCTCAACCGGTATTGGCACAAGTGTCTTAGTTGGTCGCCTTCGCGAGCAATTTCTTGCTCTATATCAAGATCTCAACCATTTCTTAAACTCACCGCCATAAGCTACTTTGGGCCCTGCTCTTTTCGATTGACATGCGTGTCTGCAGGCAACGTCCCTTGAGGACGATTATTCAGAGCCATGGATATTTTCCCTAGTTGAATCCCAATGCTCTTGATAGCTGAATCGTGTTCTTCGACTTTCTCTTGCATTTTTCCATTGGACCCAATCGGTTGTTGCAGCAGTCCTTTAATTTCAGACAACCCATCATCTTGTCTCACTATTTGTTGTTGTTGAGGCTGTTGATAAGCTAGCTGCTGATTTTGATTGTATCCTTGTTGCCTTTGGTACGACACAACTTGACCCTGTGGTCGCATAACTCCAGGATTGTTGCCATTATTGTATTACTACTGTGCTAGTCTATACTGCTCATTTTGCTGCCCCCAATTCTGACCACCCTGCCTCTGTCCTCCATAGTTGGCCACATAGTTCATATTTTCCTGATAATTCTGATTTTCACTTTCAGCACTCCACGAGCATACGTATGGTTGATTAATGCATGGTGTACATAATCCTCCATTAGTCATATCAACTATATGTATCTGTTGCTTCTGGCCCGATTCATCAATCATTTTGGAGAGGATACTCATTTGCATCATCAGAGTGGCCATATTCTTGGCTATGGATTTGTTTGGGTCCAAAGCCACTAAGTGAACTACAGGAGTGATTGTAGAGTCTCTTGTCATCCATCCTAAATTTTGAGCAATTTTATCAAGTAAGACATTGCATTCTCGGAATGTTTTGCTAAAAAATGCTCCACCTGCTGAAGCATCAACATTAGCCTTCAAGCTATCTGCCAGTCCCATGTAGAACCTTTGTCCCAACATCTGATCTGGAATGCCAGATGTGGATACTTAACCAGCATACTTTTGAACCTCTCCCATGTTTCTTGCAATGTTTCAGCTGGTTTCTGCTTGAAGCTCAATATCTCATCAACTTGTTTGGCAGTCTTATCGGGTGGGTAGAACTTGTTCAAAAATTGCTTGACTAATTCCTCCCAAGTGACAATGGAGTTTATGGGGAGCGAATTTAGCCAAGTCTGAGCCTCTCTCGTCACTGAGAATGGAAACAACAACAGCCTTATTGCTTCCGGTGTCACATTCGGTTGCCTTTGCGTGACACATATCGATAGGAAATTTTTTAGATGCTGCTGAGGATCTTCAGTGTAAGACCCCGAGAACAGTCTCTTGTTCTGAAAAAATGTAGCATGTTGTTTGTGATTTGAAATGATTCCGCTTTTATCTGAAGGGCTGCAATTGCAGTTGCCAGATTTTCGGCGATGGGTTGTGCCCAATCATACAATGCTGCTTCTAGCACAAGAGGTACCACACCCTGATTGTTCGGGTCATTCGCATTGTTTCTGTTATTTGGATATTCTATTGCGTCATCCATGTTTGGTTCGATTCGTTCTGTTGAGTTCTGTTGTTGTTTTTCCTTCTTATTTGCAGGACTCAATGCCTTGAAAATTTTCTCAGGATCTGATAATGCTTTGAACAATTCACCAGTTCTTGAGGAGTTTTTAGGCATGCACCTGTAACACCTAAAACTACAAACATTAGAATTTCAATGTATTTAGTTTCAAAGGAAGAAAATTGACTACAGTAAGAATTCTATCACTTCTTTTTGCTTCAATTAATAACACCATTAACTTCCCCGGGAATGACGCTAAAATTTGATCACGCCCAACTATGCCTTATATAAAAGACTAAGCGGTCGTTGCAAATATAATCCGACTTATAAGTCCGGAGTCGAATCCTACAGAGAATTAACGTACTAATCACAACTTTTAGTTTAGCAAGAATCCAAATAATCAACTTCCAAAAATGTTAAATAATGAATTGCGTGTTTACTAACTAGTAACAAGGTAATTAAAAAGCTGCAAATTTACTACTAATAAAGGGAACGTTGTAGACAAGATTGAAAAGGTCTAGGGTTACGATTTCCCCTCTTATCGGAGTCCTCTTTATTACGTCTCCTATAAATTCGCCTAGATACTCTCTACCGATCATGACCACTTTAGGTGTCGTAATTCTCTTCTGAGCAATTACAATAATTTACTAAATGTATTCTTCCGAACTACACTAGCTAGCATTATTTTACTGCTTATTAAGATCGCACCAAGGTTTCGTTATTCCTAACTCCACCTTTAAACCCTTCGCATTGATCCCTCATATATGTTAGGAGTAGTGTTATTCAACAACTACCTAAATATGTGCCCTTTTCCAAGTAATATGCACTAAATAGGCATATCCGATTGAGGGCCCTTCAATCAACCACAATAATCACGTAGTTGAACAAGTAGAAAATTCAATGGCAAATTTATATTAAACACAACAAAAATTCATCCTCCAAGAGGTTCCATCAAACCCTAGAATAAAGAGTTTAGCTACTCATAATTTTTTTCACAATCACAATATAAGAATTCATCATCAATGATAAAAAGGGAAAGAAGAAAGATAAAAACTCGTTTCCGGATCTTCCGTCTTGCTCCTTGCCTGTTCTTGCGTTCAAAATTCTTCTAAAAACCGAGATACCCTCTTTTTGGGCGAGCTAGGCTTCATATAGGTCCAGGAAAGTCGCCTTTGGAATTAGAATTTTAGCCCTGAAATAATTTTTCTCAGAGGGACGTGCGCAGCCGCGCACCTGGGCAGGTGACCGCACATCTAGCTGCGCACTTTGGCCAGTTTCTGCCTGACTTGCGCGGCCACGCACCTGGGCCATATTCTGCACTCTTCTTCGTTCTTCTTTTTAAGTACGCTAACCTCCTTAGATCCTCTAACGAACTCCTAATTTACTCCATAAGCTTTTACTTGGCCTTCAGCGCTCCATATTAGCTCAAAACGCTCCTTAACCTCATTGTAGCCTGGAATTGCTCCTGCAAAGCATAAAATACTGAATTAGAGCAATTTAATACCATTTAATGCTCAAACATCAGTAAAGTGCAGCCAATTTAGAATGCAAATAGTGGCCAAAATACATAGTTATAGCCTACTAATAGGAAGCAAAATCAAATAATATTGCCCTTGATTTGAAATGTATTGACATGAAGCAGCCATATCGAAAATCTTGTTCTTCTATATTATAGAAACTCTAATTTGAGAGTAATATAGCTCTCAAAATAATTTAAATATATCATATTTTATGTGTAAGAATAGAAACAAAAATTTTAATTAGCGCATTATTAAATATGGTTAGTAAAATTTCAGAAGGACCAAAATCAAAATGCATCAATAACTAAGTGACCAAAGTTGCAATTTCCTTTTTCGAACTAACGAATAGAGTCTCTACTGAAATCAAATTGCTTCAGGTTCTGAGCTCTCAGCTCTTATACTCACTCGATTCAAAAGTTCCTTTTCATCTTCTTCCCCGTTAGGGTTTATCACAATTATTGCATAAACCCTCTTTTCATTTGCAGCAATTACATCTCTTTCTTTCAAAATTGTTGCTTTTTTAGACTTCAATTTACTATTCAAGCGCGCGAATTCACAAATATGCCTGAAAATTATCTGTAAGTACACATTTACAAATTCACATAGAAACCTAACCTCGAGTAACCTCCGTGTATATGTGTACTTTTTTACATGCGCCAGAGTTCTGCTTTTGCTCGCTAATGCAGTCTGGAATCTAGGTTTTCATGAATTGCGCATTGTGATTTGGTTCATTTTGAGTTTTAGGGATTTGTTAGTGGCATGCTGTAGTTTTATAAGTAAGCCAAAGCCAAACTTTGAGCTGAAGGGTAAAGTTTTTGAGGAAAAGCCCCAATGATTCTAGAATTTGAATATGAACAATGGAGGTAAAGCAGAAAGTGAAAGAGAATACAGTTTATGATGATAGGAAAGAAAGAGCTAGTACTGATGATTTTGGTCGAGCAATATCGAGAATTGCAGCTGCACAGATATGCGAAAATATTGGATTTGAGGGCTTTAATGAATCAGCTCTTGACTCATTTGCTGATATTACGGTTAAGTATCTTTATGACTTAGGCAAGACTGCAACTTTCTGTGCTATTTTAGCTGGGAGGACAGAGGTCAATGTCTTTGATGTAATAGAAGGATTAGGGGATTTGGGTGGGTCCACAGGTGCATCAAAGGTGAAACATTGTGGATTGGATTCTCGGACTATTAAGGGGATCGTTGAGTTTGTGAAATCAGCTCAAGAGATTCCATATTGCAACCTCTTCCATGTTTTCCATTGATTAGAATAAAAGGAAGATACCCTGTTTTGTACAAATGGATGAAACTCCAGCGTTTAAGCACATACCTTTATGGATGCCTGCATTTCCTGATCGGCATACTTATGCACGCGCCTCTACATGGAATGAGAGAGCTTCTGATCCCTGAGCTGATAACGTTGAGTTACCGAGGCAGCGAAGGAAGGCGGAAAGGTGTTTTTGAATTTACAGCAACGATTGGGGTGCAACGGTTCAGCAGAGGTATCAGCTTCCAATGAACTGGATGATGTTAGGATTGAATCAAATGTTAATGCAAGTGGAAACCCATTAGTTGCAGTGTCTTCAGAAGCTGGAGAAAAGACATGGCTGCAGTTTCCCTTGCAGCTAAACTTCCCAATGAAACGGACAAAAACCATGTTTCTTTGCTGGAGATATTTTCTCCTGCAATTGAGGCATTGAAGGATGATCCTTCTGAATCAGGAAATGGTGTGGAAGAAAATCCTTCTGACCAGGGGAGTGCTGTCTGTTTAGAGTGTAGACCTGGTAAGAAAGTCTTGCGCGATTCTTTTGATCTGAGACTTCGGAACAAGGGTTCTAGGAGAACAGCATCCGGGTTCAGGTGGGATAAGAAAAAGATGACAAGAAGAGAAGAGCAGAGTTGTTACTTAGACAATCTGTTGAAAACCAGTAGGAGTTGACTCAGTTGTAAATTAGTTCATGGAATGGCTAACTTGATGGGTTGTTTCATATTCTGTTAGAAAAGGTCAGCAATTGATTAGGCTAGGTAAAAAGTTGGTCGAAATGTAGTTTTCCTGTGAATGGCCCACGTCTATGACGAAGTCTGATGTAGTGCAAAGCTTTTTTGGACGTTAGTTGTTTAACCTCCATTGACTGAATTGTTCCCTTACCCTAACAAACAAATGAAAAAGGAGGAAGTATGATTATAAATGGAAACTATTAAGGATTTTCAATGGGATCTTGTATTTCTTGAAGCTGGACGTGTGGATTCTTTTTTACCATGCAAATTTGAAGTAAAACTGGGAGTGTAATAATTAAGGGAATAAGCATAGGTGAAGCTATGAACTCCATCTGATCTGCTACGGCAGAAATAGACAATGTCAATCATGTTAATTTTTTGCTACTGTTTTCAGGCCCTTAAATTGTAGTTCTACACTTGTATTATTTACTATTTTCTTTATAGATGAGAGACTTTCTTCCTGTGCAAACTCTTGTTCCAGCCTTATCTGCCACTACTTGCTTCCTAGTAAATGGTTCGTATGAGGGTCTTTTCTTATGTTGTTCACAAAGCATGATGCAGCGTCATTCTTGACTAACTGATTACTTTTGTTGATTTCGTCGCTGGGACACTGTAGTCTTATCTCTATTCAGAATACACTGCTTAAATGTCATTGTGCTATTTCTATAGAATTATAGTGATTGTCTTTAGTTCGCTGCTTGGCTGTTTTGTAAAACTCAAGGCAACTAATCTGCCAAAGCCGTTGGATTGGCTAAATTCAGCTGTGCAGTCATGACACATGAAATACCAAATCTCTTTCTCGTAAAGCCATAAGGCTAGAGAGCTGTGTTCATTTCCTGTAATCTATTGTTAGCTGTATCGTTTTCCTATGAATATTTTCCTTCCACCGCATCTTACTGAAAAAAACAGTGGAGCAGCCTTATTTCGATTTATAGCTAATATGGCTGAGGATTAAATTTGCAAATCATGATTTGATGATTTGGCTTCATCCAAGTATTTGCCAGTGTTTGCATTTCGTTTATTTGAAACAACTACGCAACAGAAACTCACAGACATCAGTGTGCACTATAGTCATGATAATTTACATTTTGGGTGCCTGAAACCAACAACTATTGTGCAACTTCTTTTAAAAACTATTTTTCATTTAGTTGCACACTTTGTTTTTAACTCTGATGTACTGCAGCATTATATGTTGATCTCAGCGTAAAAGAAGTCTTTGGATCTCACTAGCTTCACATGGTATGGCTATCACACCTTGCTGGTAATATCCAAATTCTCTTTCTGCTTCCTCTAGTAACTTGATAAATGCAGGATGAGAAAGATAATCTAGAGCCAGTGAAAATTTTCTTGGCTCTGTATTCACCCCCAGAGCGAGCACCGAGAAGTGCCCTTTCTTTATGGTAGTTGTAACTTGAGCTTTCCTTTTCTTCCAGTTGCTGATGTTGTGGAGAAACATATTGTCAAAAAGCTTTATGATCTGCTTAACCTTGGCAAAATAGCCCCCACATATCACTTCTGTTTTTTGGCTTTTCGTGCTCATTCTTATTCTTCTAATTTGCTGAAAGAGTTCAAGTCCTTGTTTCTCTATTGAGAAAGTTTTAGGTGACATTTTCGGCGGAATTGGAATCTCATATATATATAGTGTCTGACTACTATGGCAGCCGTGTTTATTTTCTCATTTGACAAACCATTTTAGGGTTATCCAATTTGTCCTCCCCACAAAGGGACACACCAGAGATGTCACTGTTGAAAGGGTTTTAGGTAACATGGATTGCCACTTGCTAGTAAACATTCCTACTTTGTCCACTTTATATTTTCATTTTGACACCATTTCTGCTGTGGATTATCGAATGAAAATTGATTTGTCATAAATTCCTTTGTCTTTTCGTTCTTCTTTTGTTTGTTTTTTCAGTATAACTAAGAAATTCTCGAAAGCAAGTTGGCGCATGATGCATGATGTCAAATTTCAACGGATAATGGGGTTGCTCGTTTACGGTTCTCTACTTAAATGCTAAGCTTTGTCTAATGCACGATTCGAACTCATGACGTGCACTTACCTCCACATATCATTGCGTTCTGCTTTTACTATTGAACCAATACCCTCATTCTCTAATCATTACTTAGGTGAATACTTGCTCTCGATGTCTTTACATCAAATCAAACAATTTTGTTTTAGCACTTAAAAGTTAAAGTGAGATTATTTCTCTTAACCATGGTGAATTAACACATGTGTACGAAGATATGTGTTTTATTTATTAGTTTAGTGTAAGCACCGAATGCGGCTAATTTTTTACCTACCTTATCCATTCCCCCTCTCCCCACACAAAACAAAATGGAGATACTGATATCCTACTCTGCTTAATTAGAAACTTGTGTTGGGAGCTGTCTTTCTTGAATTTTATTATATACAACCATACAATGTGTATGCAAACCGTGGCTAAGGTAGTAACCACAGAAAGTTATGAAGGAGAAAATGACTGTTGAAGTACTGTTCACCAAAGATGTTCCCTTATTGGCTAGTAAAGAATTTGAATGGTAAGCACACTAGAAACGGGGCATTTACAAGTTCAGATATATAAAAAATTAGCTTGGTACAATGCACCTGGGAATTGGGATAGATATTATATTCATTGCTAAGTTGCTATGATAGGAACATATTCGGGGAGAATTTCACTTAAGTACAACTCACACACCTGACTTGCAACATAATAGCTTAGATATCACATTGCAAATCTATAGCCCAAAAATAATAGGCTAATTCCCGAAAAAACAGCTTATTTCACACAATCAATATATTATCTGAAGGTAAGAAATTCAAACACCTTTATGTGCAATTGCTGAAGCAATCCAACAGGATAAAAGAAATATAAAAAATTGATAAATGAATTGTAGAATTCCTCCAACGCGTACAAATTTGTTTCATATAGCACATAGACGAAAAAGAAGAAGAGAAGGAAGTGTCAAACTTCTGTAGAGACTTCTTACACGCTAACAATGTATATACATCCTTATAAACTGAAAATATATATATATATATATATATATATATATATATATATATATATATATATATATTTATACAACATTATACACAAATATACACATTTATACACAATTATACAATACTGTATAACTTGTATAAACATGTATAATAGTGTATAAGAGGTGTCTGTACACATATATACACAATTACACACTATTATACAGTGTCGATACAACCTGCTACATAGTTATGATTTTCCAGAACTTCAAACTTCAGAATCTTCCAAAATTACCAGAACTTCAAACTTCAAAATCCTCCAAAATTAGTGGTTGTTTGTTGGTGCAAATCAAGTTTGAGAGCTATTTATTTTCAGATCTGTGTGTATTTTCATGTTTCTTTCAAAAATCTTCTTCGTTCTTCTGCTTGCCACCATGGACGACGGGGTCTTTCTTCGAGCCTTCTTCGAGCCATTAATGGCAGAATTGCGTAGGGGGTAAAGGAGGGGAATAGCGGGGGCTAGGTTAAGAGAGGATGAGGGATCTATGTGGGTTAGAGAGAAAGGAGTGAGAGGCGGTGAGAGAGAGAAGGGAATGAAGAAAGAAGAAAATAATAAAAACCCTAAAAGTATGTCTTTAATAGTGGGCTAAAGGCTGAAAAGTTTCTTTCAAGTTATGTACAACATGGGCTATACAAGGTAAGAGCTTTAAATGTGGGCCATTTTTGATTGGGCTATTAGGCCAAGTGACATGGGCTGTAATTCTTTCACATATTTGCTGTATTCATAGCTGGCCCCTTATCCCAGCCTCTTCATCTTTTCTCAATTAAACTCCATTGTTGGATTGTCCCATTTATTCTCTTCCATTCACTACGTGGTCTAATATGAGCTTTAGTTCGGTTGAACGATTTGACTATCTTAGAGTGTTTCATCAGAAATGCAATCAATTCTTTGGGCCAAGGTAGCTATTTTACTGTTAATAACTACAGTTTCTTTCCAGCTCAGCACTTCTTCCTTCATAGTTCCACATAGAAGTCAAAACATTTGCGCAAGTACGTACATGCAATCATGATCATGACTAACGTTTTCTCTTGATCGTATTTCCAATAAAAAGGGCAGTCCACCGCAGAAAGCTCCCCACATTCACACAAGATCGTGGGAAGGGTCGCACCCCAAAAGGTGTGCTAATACAAGCGTTAGTGGCTGCTTCCGCAGCTCGAACCAATGACCTATAGATCATGCGGGAATAACTTCACCGTTGCTCCAAGACTTCCTCTTCTTGATCGTGTTTCAAATCTTCCTATAAATCTCTTCCGCAAGAATCTCGACAAACCAGAGAAAAAACAGTATTTCTGAAAATTATGAACGTTCATTTGTAAAAAAAAAAAATGAATAAGATCTCTACATTCAATAAGATAAGTGAAAAGGGTTCCT